TGTAAAGAAAGTCTTCAGAAGAATTTAATTTTGTTTTTCAGAAATTTAAATAAAATTCTTTCATAAATAATAAAATTCTTCGAAAGAATTCAATTCTGTTCAAAATTTTCAATTAAAATTATTAACAAAAACTACATTGTTTTCAAAAAATTAAAGAAATTCTTCAAAAGAATTTAATTATTTACGAAAACTATTATAAAATTGTTTAAAGTAATTTAATTTTCCAGCAATTATTTTAATCAAATTCAAAATCAAATAAATATACATTCAAAAAATTAAAGTAAATTTTTTGATAGAATTCAATTATTTTTAATATATTTTAATAAAATTCGAAGAAGAATTTAGATATTTTAAAAAAATATTAATGAAATTCAAAAATAAAATTTTTAATTTTAATTCTTGACAAAGACGATTATATTAAAAATTTGAAAGGAATTCTTTATAAAATTCAATTACATTCAAAATTTGAAAGAAATTCTTCATAAAATTCAATTGCATTTAAAATTTTCAAATAAAATTTATAAAAAACTCCATTATTTTTAAAAAATTCGAAGAAATTCTTCAGAAGAATTTAATTTGGTTTTTCAAAAATTTTTTCAAAATTCTTTGCAAGAATTCAATTATATTCAAATTTCTGATAAAATTCTTTGCAAGAATTCAATTATTTTCAATACATTTAATTTTAAAATTGAAAGCATTTAAAAAGAAAAATTATTTAAAAACTTAGGAAACAAAAAGAGCAAGCAACAACTAACTTCAAACTGCGAACAGATTACTGGAATACACAATGATCATTAATATAGATTATTATTAATTATTGCCATTATTGCTCCAAAAAAATCCCAAAAAGTACCACATAACCTCACTTTTCGATAAAAATTATAATCCTTTATTTTACTTTCATTTTTCAAAATTTTTACCTTTTTCTAATTAAAATCCAGCAAAGAGACAAAAATACTCTACAAAATAATTACTAAATCTCTCTATTAAATTGATTTTCAATCGAATCGAAATATAAACAAAGATGTTTTTATAAAAGAACCTTCTCTATTATTCAATATTGTTCATTAAATTTATACTGCAGTTTGCATATTAAATCCGTCAGTAGTAAATACGGAATATTAATTAAAGTAATTAATATTAGCTAATTAGCTGCAATATTTCGTACAAAATATGAAATTGGAAATAAAATCGAAACAAAAGGAAAGCGAGAGACAGAGAGATTAAATTATTTCTCCAGCACTTACTGAATGAAATGAATACAGACGAGATGTAATCCAGGAATAACCAAATCATCACTTGCAACTAACCAGCGTCTACCAAAAACAACCAAACTCGGCATTTTTTCCTCCTTCTTTTAATAATAAACATACAATATTCTTTTCAAAAATAAAATTCTTTTCAGAAATAAAATCACTTATTCCAAATATTACATAATGTAACAAACATATAACACTACTTATTTCATAGAAAAATCACGTCATTAGAGAATAACACACGCCCACGTGGAAAATATATTTAAGAGCAAACTTCTATTTACTCTTATCTCGCACGTGTTGTTTAGTGAAAATCTTTACGTCTCGTGTTGCGAACTAACACACACAAATAAACTATACACAACTCCCTTTGGCAATCAGTGTGAATAGATGAAACGATCGAAGAAAGGCAGCCGGTCATTTGACCTCTCTCTCACTGCAAAGCACACTGCTTACGAAATGCAACTGAAAATTGTGAATTGAAAAACTTACGAATATCATTCCGTTAATTAGCGATAAGAAACAAAATTTGATTAAACGAGAGAGGAAAAAAAAGAGAGGGAGAATTTTTCAAGCATTTTCAAGAGAGACAATCTGTCACTGAGTCATGAAGACAATTTTACATAAAGAATTAACAATTACAGTTTTTTCGTGAAAGCGACAGAACTGCCAATAATATTCCCACTGGCAAAATAGAATCCTTTTTGGATTAAAATTTGATTTTTAATTCATGTCTCAACTGACATCAAAACTAAGAATTGAAACCGAACTAATAATTTTCTTTGATAATATTTTTTATTGTTATTAAAATAATAATTTCAAAATTGAAATCCATAATTTTCTTGATATAGAAAATAAATTCAGGGTTGCCACGCTCTTGCTCATTTCAAATTCCCTGACTTTTCCAGGTTTTCCAGATTAGAAAACGGAATTTTTCCAGGTTTTTAAAACTAAATTTATATTTTACAAAATTAAATAATTCCGATAAATTTTTACAAATATATCCGCATTGTTATATTTATTTTCTTTAAATAAATATTTAATTATTATTTTTCCATAGGAATTAAAATTCTTCAAAAGATTCAAATTCAATTGTTATAAAACATGAAGAAATCGATCACTCCGAGTCTTCGACTCAGAGCAATCAATATCTTCATGTTTTATAATAATTAAAATTGACCGACTGATAAAATTATTATTTATAATAAAAAAAAAAAAAATTATTTTATATTATAAGAATATTGTTACTCTAACTTATTCAAAATTACTTTCATCACTTCAATTCAATTATTGTTTTCCAGAATTTTTAACTAAGATTCTTCTTTAAATTTATTATTTTTAATCATTTTTGAAAAATTTCTTTGAAAATTTTCAAATTCTTTTGTTTACAATTCAATTTTACGAAACTTCTGCGATTATTCGAAAATTCTTCAATCAAATATATATTAGAATATAAAAAGTTCAAATAAATTAAAAAAAATGCAATTAAACTTTTTCAAAGAAATTAAATCTACACAATTTTTAGTTAAAAGTATGAAAAATTCAAACATTCAAAGACTTTAATTTGAAACCTTTTCAAAATTCAATTATTTCTAAAAAATTCAGCTGTAATACTTTCTCTCTAAATTTGAATTACTAAAATTGTTTACCAATTTTTTTGGAATTAGTCACTGACTTTTTGGCTTTGAATTAGTAAATTTTACTACTAAATTAGTAGAAACGACTATTTATTAGTAAAATCTGCTAATTCAAAAGCAAAAAGTCAGTCACTAATTCAAATTAAAAACATTTTTACTAATTCAAATTTAGAATTAGTTTAATATTTAATTATTAGGTATCTAACATTTTAACTAAAATTCATATTTAAATCAATGTTTATTAGAAAATTTTACGAGAATTCAATTATTTAAATACAAAAATAAATAATTTATTGAATACTTCAATGTTTTTTAAAATTAAACCCTCATAAAGAATTTTATCAGCAAATTTTTAAAAAGGTAATTAAAAATCTTTTGACGAATAATAATTTAATTTTCGAGAAATTAGATTAAAATTGCAATAAAAATAATTGAATCTCTGTAAAAAATTTGATTAAATTGAGAACAGTTTTTGAAAATAATTGAAATTTTGCCAAGAATTTTAATAAAATTTTAGAAAATAATGGAATTTTAGAGAAAAATTTTATTATTTATAAAGATAATTGAAATTTTGCCAAGAATTTATTTTAAACTTTCGACCATAGTTGAATTTCTGCGAAAAATTTTATTGCTTTTGAAAATAATTCAATTCTTGAGACGAATTTTTAAAAATTTTTTTTAAACAATTGATTTCTTTTGTGAAATTTTATTGAAGTAGTAGATATTGAAAATAATTGAATTTTTGATAAATTATTGAAATTAATTAAATTTCTACGTAGAATTTTATTAAAATTATTAAAAAAAAATTGAATTCTTAAAAAGAATTTTATTAAAATTTTTGAAAATAATTTAATTCTTTCAAGAAATTGAATTTCTTTGATGAATTTTAATAAAATTTTTAAGAATAATTATATTTTTGGAGAAATTTGATTAAAATTGTATTAAAAATAATTGAAACTCTGCGATCAGTTTTATTATTTATGAAAATAGTTGAATCTCTTTAAAAAAATTGATTATTTATGGAAAATAATTGAATTATTGCAAATAAATTTATAAAGATTTTGTAAATAATAGAATTCCTGTTAAAATTTAATTAATTCTGAAATATTTAAGTAAAATTTCCAAGTTGTGTGGCAACCCTGATAATGGAAGATAGAAATAATAGTTGTCGAATTATTATTATTATTATCAACTACCAAGAATAGTCGATTTAACTTTTCGAAGAAAACATTCGAATATATTTTTCCACACTCTTGGGGAGGAAAAGAAAACGACATAACTCATAACCCGGAGGCAAATATGCTAGGTCCTCTTGACAAGAACACTCTTCGTACATTGTACTCGAGGCTTCCACGTGCAACTTCTCTAGACAAGCTTGTTCTTTTCTGTGGTCAAATTTAGAACAAAGATTCTCAGAATTGGAACACTATTTTTTCCTCCTCTTTAGAAATGAAATTTTTTTCTTTTTTTTTAAGAACGACAAACAAAAACAATACCTGTGTTTCAAATTCAAAAAGCTCAGGATTTCGATTAATCACCAAGGAGATTTATTTTACGAAAGGAGAAAAGAAGAAAAAAAACACATCCCAGAATCAGAACTTAGTGCACTGAATCTTGAGGGTATTGTTAACGAACTCACAACAATTGGCAAAACTTTTCCCTGATCTCTATTATCTGAAAGTAAAAAAAATTAGCCAACGAAACTTTCCCAACGTGAAAACACGTCTTATTTATGATTGTGTGTGCAAGGGGCGCAAAAAATTCTCTTCGAAAACAAAGTTCCAAAGTTAGATCATTCTCAGATTTAATATTTGATAATGAAAATCTCTGGATTAAAACAAAAATTCAGTATCAATATTATATACTAAATATATATATTCAATATTAATTTAATACTTTCTCCCCCTATGATGAGAATAAGTAAAAAAATCAAACTAAAATAATTCTCATAATTCGAGATTTCAAATGTAGTATACAGTAAAAAAATTCCTTATATACGATTGTTAAAATAGAAGAAGAGAGAGATTTTGAAATAAAAATCCTCTGGGCATTCCCGAAGGGAGAAAAATTGAAGGATAAAAATTTTTACAATAAATTGTTGACTCACCAAATAAAATGTAGAATAAATAAAAAGCCACCAGGCACCACGAGATCGTCGCTTCCGACGCTCCATCGTCGTTGGAAGACTACGATCCCCGGCATATTTTTCTTTCCACTATCACTGAGAAATTCACTACGTGTCAATAAAATTTATCTTTGCACGAGATTTTCCAAAGATGACCTCTTTTCTGTTTCTCGAAATTGTCCCGCATTTGCGATCCTTGAGCCTCAGACTTCGATTGAAATGCGCCACTTCCCTTGTCGTTTCCATCGTCGACTCTCTCTCGCTCTCCTTATTGATGCAAAAGCCCTAAAAAAATTTTCAAAATTAGAAAAAATTCACTTAGAAAAATCCTCAAAAGTATTAAATTTATTTAAAAAATTGACAATTTCTCTTGGAAACAAAATTAAATATTTTACATCAGTAAAATAATTTCTTTTTGAAAAATATGCAATACTCGTTTTTTTTATCTTATCATCGACTTGTTAATTATTTTCCAATCATTATTAATAGACAGGAATTTTTTTTTTTCAAAGAGAAATTTTCAATGTTAAATACTATTTTTACAAACATCGTTTGTTAAATTGTCTGACAAATGTTAGAAACTATTATGAAATATTTTTCAAGTATTGGCAAAGAACGTGGGTGGTAAAGGATAAGAAAATTATTCAAGTTCTCGAGACAAGCGTTTTTGAAAATAGAGAAACAAATCTGAATTACAAAGTAATGCAACTAATGTTTAGTAATGTAAAATAATGTTTATATGATGTAAAATAATGTTTAGTAATGTAAAATAATGTTTATATGATGTAAAATAATGTTTAGTAATGTAAAATAATGTTTAGTAATGTAAAATAATGTTTGGAGATGTAAATTAATGTTTAGTGATGTAAACTAATGTTTAGTTAATAAAACTAATATTTCAATTTAATATCAAATGCAATTAAAATTTATTCACTCGAGTCAATTTTTCAATTCAGTGAAAGAAACGGACATGATTCATACTGAGATAAATAAAAGTTTCTGGTTTCACTCTGACTAATTTAATCATTTTTAATCAGCAGACATTTCAAAGAAGTCATTATGCATTTAATTATAGAAATCACTGTTCACTTTCATTCATAAAATTACAATTATTATGAGCATAAACATAATTATATGAGTGTAAATTGTGAATTTAAAATAAATTAATTTAAAATTTTGAAATAACATCCTAATTAAAAGTATATAAACAAGAAAATTATGAATATAACAGTGTAATTAAAAATAAAGCAATTAAATTATGAATGTCATTAAAAATATAACGAAATTATATAATAAAGAAATTTAATAATATAAAAATTGCGAATACAATTAGAGATTATGAAAATTTTAAAAACAACATTATAATGAATAAGATAATAAAGAAAAAAAAGAAAGCAGTGAAATTATAAATTAGAACTTGATACGAAATTTAATATGCGAAAATTGCTGTTATTTGTGGGGAGAAGCTTTAATTTCAAAAAGCAATTTGCAACTTTACCTTGTATTCAAAGTTGTAATGTAATCATCGATTGCATCGTTGCAAGTATAAACGAGTTTTTAAAGAAACGATAAGACTGCATTTTCCCCCGACTTCTTTGGCATAATTTTCAAAAATTTGAATATCACTTGTAAGAAATTATGTAATCTTTTTCGAAAAACTTACACACAACACAAAAAATGTCCGTCACAATTTCCCAAACCGAACTTTAATAATTGAAACCCCCCCGGAATTTATACTCCAATCCCGAAATATGTAAGAAAAATATCGAAAATATAAAAATCAATCTATATTATTAAAATTAGTAAATAGTAATTAGTAATTAGTGATTCGTAATTAATAACTAGTAAATAATAAAAATAAATGGAAAAAAACACAAGCGGAGACGCCTTGAAATTTCGAGATTCTCTCGACAATATTTTGGTCCTTATTTTTTGTCGCACAAGACGATTGTCGATATCAATTTCCTTTTTGGCAATATAATCGTTTCATTCATTTTTGAATAATAAAATGTATTATTCATTATTTGTTTCCTCTCTTCAGTCACATTTGTGACAATTTATTATTATTATAAATGCGAACGTTTATTTTACAACTCCACGTGCCCGCGAACTTTGCCGGCAATATTTGACGTTTTAAAAAAAACTACGTCCGACGAGGTGAGGTACCTCTTGCAAACTGGTAACAGAGAAAACGACGCTAAGCGTCGCGGCGCCTGCGTGATTCTATTGCTACTTGTAAATCGCTTCGATGTCGGAATCCCTGTGCACAAGCTGTGAAAAACTAATTCTACACCCTCACCATATAAATATACAATACACATATATACAAATATCTACAACTCTATATTTATATAGGTACACATAATATCACTTTTAATCCCAGAAATTTTATTCACAAAAAAAAGAGAAATCACGACAACATAATTTAAAATTCGTGATTTTACTCCTTTTTCACTAGAAATCAATAAAAAAAATTTAAATGTAATTTAAATGTAATGTTCAATTGAAATGTAATTTTAAAATTTCAGTAATTGTTCCACAGAAAGTAATTATTTTCTACATTAAAATTTAATTATAATAAACTTTTTAATTTTCGAATAAAACAAGTTTTTGTAATTCTTTCATTTTTCTTCTTTTCCATTTTACTTTAATGCTTGCTTTAATGCTTTTTTAAACTTACAGTAGTTAAACTTAATGAAAGTTAATTTAACTGTATAATTACTTTCAAAAAAAAAAAAAAAACCAAATTAACTTTAATTGCTTTAAATAAGTTCGTCATTAAATGCGAGAATCAATGAGAATAAAAAAAAAGAGGTGAAAGAGTCACTTAAACGAATTTTAGAAAAATATTTACTTATAAGTACGACCTTTCGGTATAGAGAATATTTTCTTTTTTTCAAAAATAAAATTTATAACAAAAATTAATACTTGTAAATAGTTGAAAATTATTAACTTTGACATTTGATTTATTTTTCATAAATCTCTACATCTTTTATTATTCTATTTTCAAATCCATCAAGAAAGTATTGAATATTTTATCAGAATGGAATCATCATCCCTTCAAGAAATATCTATATTTAAATTATATAAATGTTATACATTTATGATCTATATTTCAAGTTCTTTTCAATAACTTATTCCCCTTATTTCGTACCCATTATGTCTATGTGGAGTTATAAAATTCGTTTATGTAACATAGAGTTCAACTAAATATCTCTTACAAAACTCATTGATTTTAAATTTTAATCCATATATAAAATACAGTAAAGAAAGTTTTTCTCTTTTTCATATTTTTCCGAAATTTAAAACTTCTGGAAAAGATTATTTTAAATAATTATTGTAAATATCGATTTATAATAATTAATATAATATTTAAATAAACTACAATAGGAATAAAATAGTAATTTAAAATTAAATAAAATAGAATTTTCATTTTTTATATTCATAATTTAGAAAGTTATTAACTTTTTCAAATAGGAAGAAAAACGATTAAAAGGCAATTTTATCTAACTTTAATTTCTTGAGAAATATTTCAAGAAATGAAAAAATTCTGAGGTCAGAGCTAAATGAAATGTTTATACTTTTTAACTCTGTTCTTTGTAAAGAAACCATATCTACTGAGAATTTTTTCTAAACGTAGATAAATAATTACTTGTAAAAAAAATAATTTTTACTATATTATTATCTTCCTTCACTCATCAATTAATAAAGTAGTATAATAAGAAAAAATCAGTAATAATAATAAAAAGTAAAATCAGTAATCAGGAATCTGATGAATAATAATTTATTAGCGAAAAACTTTCTTTTACTGTCAAAGCAAATTTTTTCTAAAAATGAAAATAAAACTTCTTTCAAGGTAATTTTTTCTTTTTATTTAAAATCAGTTTAATTATTAATTAATTAATTAATTAATTACTTTATTAATTATTATTTATTAAATTAATTTAAAAAATTAAAATTAATTTAAAAATAAATGCGTTACCTGTGAACATTATTTTCGAAGATCATTCATTCAAATTTCATGTTTTCTCAAAACTGCTTCACTTACTCAGTAAAAGTCTCTCACTTGAACATCCAATATTTGTGCCAAATTACCATCAAATCGTAGATAAATTTTCTTCTTAAAAAAATATCAATATTTTTCGCTCACTTCAGTTCCTTTAACGCATTATTGATTATTACTGTATATTCATAATTCTGATATTATGAAATTTTATTCTTCAATGTTTGAAAACTCTAATGTCAACTGAAAAATTTTTAATTACGAGCATCACTGTAGTTTTGTTTATACCAGTCAACAGTTTCCTGCAATGCTTGCTCAAATGGCGTGAATGTGAAGTCAGGTAAAAATTTTCGTAGCTTTGAATTGTTTGCTGTTTTTTTGAATTGTCCATCGGCAGACGTCAAATCAAATTCAATTTTTCCTTTGAACTCAAAAGCTTTTACGAGAGTTTCAGCTAAATGGGCTATTGTTACCTCCTGAGATTCGTCCACTGAAAAAAGAAATTTAATTTTCTTTATGGAAACAAATTATTAAGAAAAAAAAATATTCATTTTGTTGTCAAATTTTCTATTTAAATAAACAGGGTTGTCAGAAAAATTTTGGACTTTTTCCCTGACACTAAAAAATATTCTGATACACTCTAAAAAATTATTAAATACTCAAAGAAATCTTCTATTGCATTTAAGGCAATCAAAAAGAAACAAAAATTTAGAATTTTTCGTATTAAATTGAAATTGTAATTAGTTTATAATTATTTTTATATAATACTAAAATTATTATTTGTAAATTGTATAATTTTTGTTTATAAAAAATACCTGATAAAATAATGGGTTCAACTGATTCGTAATTCCTCAAAACCCAAACAATCAGTTTCGCCAAATCTTTACTGTAAATAAATTGTCTCAATGGTTTTCCGGTTCCTAAAACCTTGAATACCTTGTCTGTCGTATTGCCTGAAAATTTTTTCCAAATTAGAAGAAATTAATCTTTTAAAACTTAATTTATCTTTTACAAATTAATTAATTATTTAAAAATTTCTTAAGTATATTTAATTAATCTTTTAAAAAATAAATAATAATAATAATAATAATAATTAATTTTGCTTTGTAAAAAAAAATAAATGTAATAACCATCTTTCATAAGATCGTAAAGTCTTCTCATAAGTCCAGGAATAACGTGACTCGCATCCGGACGAAAATTGTCAAATGGTCCAAAAACATTGCAAGGTATTACGCTCGTGTAGATTCTACCGTGTTGATCAAAGTATCCTTTATTTAAAACGTCAATCATTCTTTTGGCATAACTGTAACCATAATTGGAAACATGTGGCGGTCCATTGTGAACCTAGACAATAGTTTCACGATCAACATCTTTTTTGTCTATTTTTAAATTCCAATATCTTTTATACATCTACAAAAGTTCTATCATTGTTTTCTTTTTTATTATTCACTCACCATGGTTTCATCAATAGGATATGTCGTTTTATCAGGAAAAATACAAGTCGAAAGACATGATACAACTTTTTTAACATTCCGCTCGTGTGCAGTTTGTAAAACATTATCATTAATTTGCAAATTCCTTCGCTACAAAAAAAAATGATAAACCCAATAATTTTTATTTCTAATAAATATTATAAAGAAAAATATTCTTTCCTAATAAATGAAATAAAAACAAGTTCTTTACCAAAAAATCGAGATTGTTTTTCATGTTGACAAACAAACCACCGACTATTGCAGCCAAGTGAATAACATGAGTTGGTTTATGTTTTTCGAATAATGCCTCAGTGCTTTTTTTATCACTAAAATACAATTTATCAACAATTAAAACGCTAGCGTAATTAAAAAGCATTAAAGTAACAATTTTGTCAAATTGAATTGAAAAAGTAGGCAAGAAAAAAGTACTTTTTAATGTCAAAAATGGATCAAAAGATATTAAAAGCTGTTTAAAAACATATTTTCTAAGTATACATACCACAAATCAGCGTCTTTTGAACCAACAAATATCCATTTTTCATTAGGATTGTTATCACTTTCAATCACCGTTGCAATTGCTTTTCCAACTAACCCGGTGCCACCGGTGACCAAAATCACGTTTTTACTTTCCGACATATTTCACTTTTTATCAACGCAACAAAGATACGGTACACTTCTATTACACAAGTAACAAAAAATTTGACTATTACACAACAATAAATCAACAAACATCAATGAAATTACGTTTAATTTTCTTATAATTCAATCAATTCAATTATCACGAAACCTAACCTCAAACTTGATACTTTTCAATCTTTTTCCCTTTTTTCTTCCTCGATTCCTTATATCCAAACTTTCATCATTACAATTACACTAAAACACATGTATAAATCACTGATTAATCACATAAAAACAATAATAATCACACAGATAATTTAAAAAAGAAATAACAATAAAGAAATTTAAAAAACAAGCAAAATGTGTACGCTGCGTACGTGACAAATGTCAAGCTCGCGCATGCGCTTAATGAACGGCAGTTAATTCTGCACATGCGCATTTCTATTTTAAGTCACGTGAGATGAAAATTACACTGAGCGGGAACTTTTCAAAAATTCAAATTACCTTTTTTGCAATTTTGGTGTGTACCTTTTATTTCAAAAAAAAGAAAGAGTACACTTACAGTTTTGAAATCTACAAATTCTCTGATTAATGAAGATTAATCATTTTTTTTACAAAATAAAAATTTCGATTGGAAATTTGTCCAGAAAAAATTGTTATTTCTTAAAAATAAATTCTTTACAAAAATTGTCATTTCAAATAACGAAAAGAAAAATGGTGCGAATTTCATACTACGGTTTTTCTAAATGCATCTGAGATTGTATACTTTTTTTATATACGTACTTTCTATCATATTTTTACTACACTTTAAATCTTAATTTACAAGCCAGAGTTTATTTTATTCTTCAATTCACTTAATCATTGATTTATTTTTTTATCATTCGTTTATTTTTTTATCTCTCGCTTATTTTTTTATCTCATGCTTATTTTTTCTTAAGATTTAAAAGCTACCCGTTTTTATTATAAAAAAAAATTTTACAATTTTCGGTAACAAAATAATTTTGGAAATCACAGAAAAATTATTTATCTAATTAAAAATGAGTGAGAATTGAAAAACGAACCATTTTTGTTATTGATTAATTAATTATTTAAAAACAAAGGCAGTAAGGGAACATCTTTAACAATTTTTATTTACTTTGAAATTTCTATTTATTTGCTTGAACTATTTCAAGAAAAAAAAGCAACTACCTTGGTCTTTAATTTTTTAGTCATTATTAATTATTTGAATATATTTATACTCAGTTACAATTTTCGAATTTTTTAATTTCGTAATTTGACTTCATGATTATGTAACTAATATTAAATACATTAAACAAAATTTGTCTTTCGAATTAAATTCTACAACTAATTTACAATTTGGATTATTGAGAAACATCGATTCTTAATTAATAATTGTTAAACGAATTTCAAATATCCTGCTTTTTTCAAAAATTGAAACTAATAAATTTTTTCCACGAAGTTTCTAAAAATATACACTGACCCTTCTTAGGATAATATATTTATACTAATTTTACAATATTTGTTTATTATATTTCTATATATATAGATAATATAATTTTTCAATGAGACATTGGCAAATTTATTATTCTATTAATTTTTTTTTTTGGTTCCAATATTACAGAAGAATTTTCGAGTCAACATTTCACAGCAATAGTGTCACTTGATTCAGTTTATAAGAAGCAACAATTCATTTTTTTTTCGAAACTCTACTTCTGTAATATTGCATTTTATAAAATTTATGACAGGAAGAATTATCTACCAACTAATTTCACATACTCTTATGACAGACAAAACAATTAAGGACTTTAATTAATCTTTTTCAATAAAGTCGTACACATTTTCTACCCTGTAATACAATTTTTCTAATTTTCATTTTTTCAAAATTAATTTTCATCTCAATATTAATTCGTCATTATTTTATTTATTAATCATAAATTATTATTTTCTGTATATTAATTTTTAATTAATAGCATTTTAATTATTATTAATAAAAATAAATTATTATTTATTATTAGTAATAATAATTCATAATTAATAACTAACAATTATTAATTATTAATTAATAACTTATTAGTTACGAATTATTATTCGTAACTAACGATTAATAATTAAAAAACTAATAGTTAGTAATTAGTAATTTATAATTAGTAATTAGTTACTAGTGATTAACAATTATTAGCTTACAATCAACAGATAATTGACTATTAATAAATAAAATAATTGATTGTGTATTTTTTGTTTCATTCATTGTTGAAAGAAATCTACATGAATTTATCACTTCAGTCTTTCGTCTTTTAACTTCATTCGTGAATTACATTTTTCACATATACAAGAAAAATAATTTACATTGATAATAAACAATATTTTAGTTACACTAAGGCAAAAGTCGTTGATCAGGTAAATTCACAATTCAAGTAAATTAATTAATTATTAAGTTGTATTAAAATTATTTTTCATTTTAATTCAATTGACACAAAGTTTTCTTTTTCTATTTCAGTACTCTAAAATTATGATTATTATCTTACCATCGAATGTGCAATTATTCTATTAAAGTTTTTAAAAATCGATCATACATTCAATCCTTTGAATTCATTTTAAATTAAATTGTACTTTAATTTTCTTTCATTAAAAATTTAAAATTCATTAAAATAGAGAATATATCTTTTAAAAAGTCTGTTAAATTTATGTTGATGTGTTAATTAATAATTAAAGAATTAAATCTATACAAATAAAATTCAAGTATTAAATAAAAAAAAGTCAAAAGTGAAAAATGATCAAAAACTAGTGAAACTGTATTTAAAATAATTGGGCAGAATTAAATGCAGAAAAATTAAAAATTGAAACTATTCAAATATTTAAATTAAAAGGAATCAACATAAATGAATCGAAAATAAAAAACTATTTTGGAAAAAATGCATTATTTTTTAAATTACACTTTTTATGGCACCGAACAATAAAATGTAATTATCATCTTTCTCTTTGTCTCGTTTTGTGCAATTATCAAGTATAAAAAATATAATTTAACTTCACGTTTGATCTTTCAATTCTAAATTATTTCATTCTCAATAAATTATTACGGTCGTAAATAATAAATTATTACTCCATGAGACATTGTTTGTTAAAAATAATCAAGTCTTTTCAAAGAGTTGAATTTACAAAATATTGAATGAAGAAAAAAAATTCTCAGAAATATTTTTCTCAGTCCCCCACAAAAAATGGCTTTTCTTTTTCTAAAATAAATATCTAAAAATTTTCGATTAAAATAGAATTATCTCTCTTTAAAAAAAAGAACAGAATTTATAAATGTTGTCGAACTAATTGCTAATTTTTATTTGAATCAAAATCAAAAAAATCTATTAGTGTCGATTTTTTCGATTCGGGACTCGTGTAATTCCAATTTTTTTTCACATTAATTTACTAAATTTACTAAATTTATAAATTAATAATCTTAATCGTCTTAATCAAATGATGAATAATAGTGTGCTTTGTGATAAGTACTAAATGCTTGCGAAAAAAATATTCCGAGTCTAATTGCAGGGAATCTTCATTTAAAATATGTTCTAAATAAATATAAAATGGGAAGCTACTTAAAAAAAACGTGAGCGCGATACACTGTTATAATTTATAAATATCAAAAATCAAACTATTTTTAGAATTTTGGAATTTACATTCAGAAACTTTGGTTTTCCAAGTTTCAATTAAAATTGGAGAAATCGGTTTTCAATTTAATAGAAGGTGCAAGTACTTTGAATTGAGGTTTAACTGGTTCGGATGTTCTGGAAAGCATTTGTGCTTGTAAATGGCTCAATCGCACGGCATTTTCCAATTTAGTTTTCAACTCTGTCGATTGGGACATAAGTGTCTTAAATTCCTGAGGATACTTCGGACCAATTTTATTCAGCCATTGAAAACTCTGTTGATGAAGGCTTATTTGATATTTCGTTCCATGTTGCAGTTTGTCACCTTCCAATAGAAAGTTTATCAAAATTGGAACCAAAAGTGTCAGCATTTGAATACCTGGAGGAAAACAAGAATATTTTAATAACTTAATATTTTAATAAGTTCTTTAAACAGTAATTAAATTTTAGGTAAATAATATTAAAAGAGAATAATTATTATTTTATATTATTTACTACTTTTTCTCATGTTGTATATTAATATTTTATTCTATTAGAAATAATATTTAATTCTGTTAAAGATAATATTTAATTTTGTTAAATATTTTTCGAGACTAAATAAATATTTTTGCGTCAAGTTTACCTTGCATTAATTCTCCTGCTTTGCGTGAAAAGTTGAGAAAGTAGGAAGTGATTAAATTTGAATTTGAAAGAGTTAAAGAATGTTAAAAATAAGAATGAAACTTACGATTCGTAGGTTCAGCAAGTGCGATTAATCCCTCTATTGACATAATGCATTCCAATGTAAAAGACAGTTCAGAATCATTTGTAACTTGTTTACTTGATTCGCTATATAAAAATTCAACTATTCTAGGTGCCAGGGCATGAATATATGGTGTACTGATACTAAGGTCCGGATGCTGGAAAATTGTCCTCAATGTCTGCGCGCACTTCAATTTAATCTGAAATTGAATTTATTAATTAATTAAAATTATTTATTTTCTCTTTTTGCTATTTTTGTTATTATTAACATATTTTTCTTTTCATTAATTTTAAATATTATTTTATCAATAAACTATTTTTTAAATTCCATTTCTAATTTTTTATTCTCTTTTTTGAGATTTAAATTTAATAGTTTTTTTTTTTAGTTTGTTTTAATTAAAAGAAACCAATTTTTTTCTTGCTTAATAAAAAATTAAATTTTTCCAAACCGAAATGTTTTCAGACTGCATCGCTTGACGGAAATGATTGATACACGGAAATTGCAAATTGGGAGCGCTAACAACTTCCGGTAGTGCATGAAGAACAAAAACCGCTATACCCAACATCATTGCGATCTCATCCATTTTTGTTTCATCGCTCCCTAAAAAGAAAAAAAAACATTTCTTTGATAAAAATTCTAAATTTAAGTAACAAATTGTTTTTATTAAAAAATAAAATCGCTTCCTTCCTGAAAGAGCAAAAAGATTTTTTTAATCAAAATTCCAAACTCAAGGGGAAAATTTTATTAAAAACTATAAAAAATTATGAATTTAATCATAAAATATAAACTTGATTGATTGAAAAATGTATAAAAAAATATAAACTTAATTAAAAAATATGTAAAACATATAAATTTAGTTAAAAAATATTTATTCGCCTCTTTTTTCTTTACCTGTTTTTGCCAGATCGATAATTTTGGCAAGAGCGCTTTGCAGAAGTGAAGTCCATTGTCTTTGACTGCGTGGATCTTTCGAATATTTATTAACAGTCAGCGTTTTTAAACAATGAAGTGCAGCGTGAACAGGAGTCTCCGATCCTGTTCTAATAACATCATTCGATCGTATCGCTGTTTCCCGAATTACTCCAGTCGTCAAGAAAAGCAGGGTTGGAAGAATCGCCGTCGCTCCTATATTTAATAAAAGAAAAACTACATTTTTCCCCCTCTTTTAATACAAAAAAAAAAAAAAATACATAAATATTTGAAAATCAAAGAAAAAACTACATTTTTTTCTTTCATTGCCAAGAAAAAAAATACATTAATTTCTTCATAAAGAAGCAATATCAAAGATAAATTAAAAATTTCATTAACAAAATTACAAAGGAATTTTTTAAAAGAAGAAAAAAAATACGAAGAAGAAACAAAAATTTATGACGATTCTAAAATAAAAAATTTACGAACCAGCTGGAGAGCAGAGATTTGGAAGAATTTCCATAACGGAAAGAGTGGAAGCTATAAGTTTGCCACTTTTCTCAGATGGAGTATAACGACGTTGCGATAAAATAGCAGTCGTCCCGCCTGGATTTGGATTTAATGCCGGTATTTGTCGAACTAGGAGACACAAACAAACTTCGAGAACTGCAAAAACTAATGACTTTCCTGGAATTAGCTCCCCTTTTTCATCACCTTCGCCAATTAGATCAAGTTCCGGATTTTCCTTTCCTTCCTCATTGTCTGACGCTAATTCCGATTTACTGTTTGTCTTCTTCCTATCAACAAGATCCTCTTGCGCTGATTTCATGATTTGCTTCAAAACTTCCATTGTCATTATTTGAATCGCATAATTCTCCCTCGTCAACAATAATCTGCAAATACGAATTTTCATTATTTAACACGAAATACAGTAAAATTATTCAAATTTATCGAATATAATAAATAGATATTTTTAAATACAATAATTAATATTTTAACAATTTATTGTTAAAATAATATTTAAAGAAAATATTTTTAAATAATATTTTAAATACAATTGAATTATAAAAAATTTTAAGCACAAGTGAATTTTTGTTTAAAAAATGTATTAATGTGAAAAAACTGTTTTCTTTTAGGAAAAGAAAATGTGTGTTTACCTATGGAGGACATTACAAAGTTCTATTGGCAACGAACGATCAGTCATTAAAACTTTACGAGCCCATTGTGAATCGAGCAAAGTGTACAAAGCACTCAAACAAGTTTCTATATTTTGCGTCGATTCGGAAGACCTGGGACTGCAAAGTGCTTCCATACATATACCTTGAAAAAAAGGAAATATTTTCATAATTCCAAAATACTATATTTTCAATACTAATTTAAAAAATAAATTTTCAATAAATTATCGAATTTGGTTTTAAAATTCGAGAAATAATTCACAAACTAGATAAATTAATTAATCAAAAAAATATACTATAGTACAAATTTACAACTACAAATTTACAATTACAAAGAAAAAATACTAGAAAAAACTCACCGAAAAGTAAATGGAAACGTTCAACATTTTTACTCGATTTACTCGACGAACAATTCGTCGAACTCGCCGTATTATTATTTGTTCCATCGGAATTTTTAGTATTCGAATCAGGCGATTCGTCTGTTTTAAATTCACGGGCATTTAACCAAAGTGTCGCTGCATAGAGAATAGGAGCCCACGACTCTGAATAGTAAGGACGTGCCGATTCCATTGTGTCAGTTGTGTAGAAAGCCCCACCATCATGTGGCAATTGACTCGAAAATTCTAAAACAAATTCTACTTTTTAAAACATTTCAATAAATCAAATTCAATTACAATATATGCCCGCAGATAAGCAAACTTTCACAGTTGGCGTATCTGCTAAACATATTTATTACAATTTTAATCAAATAAAAATTAAAGTTTTATAATTAAAATTCATTCCTTTTTACAAAATTAATTCCTCCTTTTTAAATTTTAAAGTTAAGACCAATTTTTAAAATTAATATTAATTTCATCTTTCTAAATTAAAATTAATTCTATTTTTCAAAATTAAAATTGTCATTAATTCATAAAGGTGAAATTTTCGAATAAAATATTTCGTTAGAATGCAGACCTGGCGGAAGGGAGAGAAGAGCGTGATCTCGTAGAGCTGCGAGCCAATATTGACTCAAACTTAACAGTTCCGGTTGCACCAGACTCAAGAGACTCTCGTTTTGAAATTCAAAATCGCCAAAACCCTCCTCCTCGTCATTTTCCTTGATTTGTTTCGCATTACGTAGTGCATCTTCACGATAATCAGGAGCCGATCCCTCGTTAATCATTGCCACCACGTAGACTTCCGCCCAGGCTTTTAAAATCGCAAGTCTCTCCAGAGTGGACAAACTTTCATTATAAAGTTGCGGTAAAGTGTGACCCTCGCGTAATTTTTCAAGCGATGACACCAACAATTGATGAACACGTCGCAAATCATTGAGATCCCTCGCGACTCCACTGCCAATCCATGCGCTGCACGCCTCGCAAGCCGCCGCCGTCACGTGCGGCGGTGTCTCCGACGAGAATGCCGGTCTCAACGCGGCTCCGACCTATGAAAAATATTTCCCAATTTGAAAATTTTAAATTGCAGATAACTAGCAAAGCTAGAAAATGTTAATATTTTAGATAAAAACATTTTCTTCTTTTCTTAAAACATTTTCTCTTTTCTTAAAGAAGGAACAAGTGAAAATGTTTTTATCTACTAAAAATGAGAAAGTAAAAAATCACCTGTGCTTGGAATTGTTCGAGGAGAAGATGACCGGGAAATTCGGGTTCAGGAACTTTGGCAAATTTATCGATGATTTCCTGCAAGGTTTTAAGACCTTCTAAACGAAGAGGATCACAATCGCTGGTCGCTGCCATAAATGCCATTCTCACAAGATCAGAGAGATGTAGAACGAGAAAATCACTTCTTCCCTTTATCGATTGCATTTCTTTAGCCAGTGATAAATCCAAATGTGCTTGTCGATCGATCATACAAGCGGCGACAATTCGTCGAACGCATTGAGCAGCAAATACTCTTGTCGGCCATCTCGGCGTTACAGTTTGCCGTTGTTTCGACGATTCGTCAGCGTGAAATTCAACCTGATCGTCGTCACCTTCAGCGTCCACATTCTCATTGTCCGCCACTGTCTCCTCATTATTCACGTTCGTCACTTCTTCCACTGTACTCGACTCTGTTAAAATTTATTTATTTATTCAATTTTACTTTTGTTTTAATTTAATTTCAATTTAATTTTAATTTAGTCTAATTTAACTGATTTTGATAAAGTGATGAAAAAAAAAGTTACCAGTTGCTACTGTGAGGACATCCTTGCAAAGTGATAACCATTGGGACAAATTGTCAGACGCTAAAATTTGGAGCATACTGGTTAAAGTGTCGTGAATGTCTTTGATTAATTGACTGTCGCTTTCGGTGTCGAGCATGCTGAATAAAACCCCAGGGAGGCCAGTTTCGGTTATTACGAGACCCTCAACAATATTCGTGTCTCGACTCTCATTGGCAAGTGTCATTGCATGTTCGCAAACTTCTTTCGCTTCTCGTTGAGTCAATTGTCTCAAACAAGAGATGGCTGCTTTCCGCAGAAGCAAATGATTACTCGATAGTGTTCGCTGAAAAAAAATATTTCACAAATTATACAAACACCGAAGTTTATAATTTTTTAATTGAAGATCTTTCAATCATTTTTCAATCTTTTTTCAATACTAATTTAAAATAACGGAAATTATTCTTACACATAGAGTGGGAACTAAAGATGAGAGATTGACGTGTCTTGGGGCGAATAAATGCAATTGTTGCAAACATCCGGTCGCTTCTGCTTGAACAAGAGGATCCTGATGATCTTGCATTATAGCACAAGCGCACAGGAAAGAGGATCTCGCCATACAAATAGAAGACGTATTTCCTGATAATAAAAATTAATAATTAATTAAAGTGAAACAAATAATGCAGATGAGAAAAATATTTAATTTATAAAAATATTTAGTTAATAAAAATATCGGTTGGTTAATAAAAATATTCAGCTAACGAAAATATTTAATTAGTATAAAAATATTTACACTGAGAATATTTTATGAATTTCCTTTTAAAAATGGAAAAATAAGCAATATATTATAGATAAAAAATTTAACAGAGAAAAAGAAAAATTTTTCCCAAGGGAAAAAATGTTTGAATAATACCTTGAAGTTCTGGTCCAATTGTTGTGATAAGGGCAGCGAGAACTTTTCCAATACACTGATGAACATCGATATAAGAATGAGGAACATTTAACAAAAGTGTAAGAGCCAGAGATAAAGTTGGTTCTACATATCCTCTAAACATTGGTCCTCCAGAATCGGCTATTAAAGCAAGAGCGTGCAATGACCAAACCTAATAAAAAATTTTATTTTTTATTTAAATAAAAGATCTTAGAAAAAATAAATTAACGTAGATTAGAAAAATTCCTTCTTCATTTACTGACCTGCACAACAGGTGACGAATTATCCTGTGCAAGTGCCAATAAAATACTGACACTCGTATTAAGATGCTGACTAGATCCCATGCCACCGACATATTTATGAAGACATCCCAAAGCCAAGGAATGACCTGTTCGACTAACAACATCGCGAGCTGATTTTAATCTATCGAAACTTGTCTGCGCCAATTCTGCCGTAAATTTCGGATCGGAAATCACTTGAGCCATTCTTCCCACAGCCTCGCCTGCGGCCCACCTCAAAATCGCATTGCTACTTATTAACGTACTCTGCAAATAAATTTATCAATTAAAAATCAAATAAATTCTCCATTCTTCTACACAATGAAAAAAAAAAAATATTTTTAGTGTCCAACTATTTCTAAACAAATTTTTCTATCAAAAAATCAAAGTTAACGTACAATAATAATATTTGTCGCCGATTTTTTGACATCCTCTTGACCAAATCCAGTTTTCGCTTCATTGAGTCCCTTTAATCCACTGAGAACAGCAGTGAAAATATTCATTTGAATGGCTTCTTGTCTACCCGATTTTGCATGTTTAATACATTCGCTAAAATGATCCAACATTTGTAATCTATGCTTATTAGCAACACGTGGGAAAATTTGTCCAAATAGTGAAACAGAAAGGTCAATAACAGCAACGCCCAATGGTAATGGACCAGGAATTGAATCATTCTAAAAATATAATTATCGACATTAGAATCAATTTTTAATAATTATAATTAATTATACAATTTATTTTTATTTCTTAATAATATTAAATGTACAAAACTTACAGGTGGAACTGGACGATACAAACAGCAGGAATTATGTTCCAAAGCACCTGAACCTGCCGCACTATTTGGCTGCAACTGAAAAATGTAAATCACACAAAAATTGAATTAGATAATCGACTTTTAATTTTAATAAATCTGAAAGTAAGAAAATGATTTGGAAAATTAAAATTAATTCAGGAAATGTGTGTACAATATTTACAGCAATATATTACAAAATTTTTAATTGTAATTATTACTGTATTAAAAATAAAAAGTAAATACGAAAGGTAAGGACATTTAAAAGTGATGAAGGGAAAGAATAAAAATATATTAGAGAAAGGAAATAAATAAGAAAGTGGAGTAGAAAAATCTAGAAAGCATCAAAAAAATAAATTAGCAATAACATTAAAAATAATAAATCACAGAAGCATTATTGTGACTTCTGCAAATTTTCTTTTTTTTATCAAAAAGAGCTATAACTTCAACAAAAATTAGAAGTTACACTCTAAATTATTACTCACATGTTCCAAATCCGCCCTTCTGTTCGGTTCCATCTAAGACACGAATCAATCAACGTTAGGAGAGGAAAATCGAAGGAAATCATTAAAAGGTATCTTGTGAGAAGATTATCAATTTAAACAATTTTTTTACTTCTACATAAGGAAAATATACTAACTTGATCTTCAATCGTTCGATGATCAGTTTCTTGCAACCAGGTACCAAGAATAACCGAGTCATTCGCATGGCAAACGGCACGAAGCATAGAAGTCGTCGTATTTCCCGGATTATCCGTCAAAGTAAATTCCGAAACCAGCATTCTCAGTAAATGAGTGTAGGAGCCTTTTGATAAAAATAAGAACGTGAGAATATTTACAAAAACTATTTTTTTTTCAAAATAATTATTTCTTCCTTAATAAAAAGACTAAAAAAATTGAATAAAATTTGTTTTGTTACTATTTACCTTCAAACGTCTGAGACGGTAAAAGCAGTAAAGTTTCGTAGAGACGTAAACGAACCATTGCAGCTGGAGCTTTCAATTGTTGACCATAGCTTTTCAAAACAGTCGATAAACTGAAAAAAATAATTAATTTTTTCAAACCATAAATAAATATATAAATTATAAATGTACACAATGAAATAAAACAGTAAAAAATACGATAGCAAAAAAGTGCGATAAAAAAATAAAATTTCAAAAAATACGACAGCAAAAAATAAGATATGAAAAAAAAACAATAGCATTGAAAAAATAGACAAAAAAAAGAATGTAGTGTCATTAAAAAATACACACTTTGTAAGCATGGCGAGAGCAGATTCAATTGGCGTAAGTAATCTTCTTGTGATGTCGTCATTTAAAAGTTCTGGACAGTGCAGCAGAAAACTGTGCATTGCCGACAATGCTCCAGCTCTTCCTTCCAATGTCACTTGCCAAGTGAATGCGTCTCCACGAGCTTTTTCACTCTCAAGCTCTTTGCTCGATCTTGGAAATGAATTCCTCCAAAGCAACAACATTCTTGGCAATAATCCTTTAACAACCGCCGTTCCCAATGTCATTATCGCTCCAATCAAAAGCCATCCCGCGTGTGTTCTATTCAATGATAATCTACTATTTTGACTCGCACTCCTCAATAATTCCTCAGCCGTATTGAAAATTATCTGCAAACAATTTTTGTATTAATACAATGAAAATAATTCAATTCTTTTATTAAACTTCTTTTTTATTTTTAATTAAGTACAAACTTTTCAATATTTCGATTCTTAGAATTAGAACTAATTTGGATTCTATATATTAAATAATAAATTAATTAATTCAAAGAAAATAATTTTGAATTTAAATTTAAATAAAAACTAATTTTATTTTACTGAAATTAAGAAAATATTTGAAAACAAGAATAATTTTGAATATTCACCTTTCCTTTCGTGTGAGGCACACCAAGTGGTGATAATCGAACGCTTCCCAATACTGCGGCCAATGCGCTGCTATATCCTGTTATTGCTTCGGGAGAACTTCGCATATTTTCAATTCCTTCCACACAGCGATCAATCAATGGTGTTATTTGACTTGGAACAGCAACGCAAATGCAGCGCAAACACCAAGCTGCTGCAAGACGAGCTGCTTGGCACGGATGTACCAAAACCGCCATCACAGTATCAATCAAATCTAAAAAGAAAAATAATTTAAAACTATAAAATTACCATTTCAAAAATTAATATTCAACTATCTTATTTTTATTGAATAATAAAACTATTTTTTTTTAATTTCATTTCAAATTTTTTCAACTTACTCAACGATTGGTCCGATAAAAGATTAGACGCTGTTGTTCCCAGGCCCAAAATTAAATTTCCCATTTCTTGTAATGCACAAACCAATAAATGTTGACTGAACAAAGTTTCCTGATTGAAGTCTTTTGCATTTTCCGGACTGAAATCTGTTAATGAAAATTTATCATTAGATTTGTCTATTTTTTCTTATTCTATAAATATTTTATAAATATTTAATATATATTTTAATTTTAGTATTTAATTTATTTTTTATTTATTATTTATTTAGTGGTTATTTACTTAGATTTAGTTATTTATTAAATTATAATTTCTAATTCATATCGTTTTTATAAATACATAGAATTAAAAACTCACCAATTGAATTCATTTGTTTTAAAATAATATGCGCTATTTCTTTGCAAGCCGCGGCCTGAGCGCCTTCACCCAATAATTTTCCAATAGTTCCTCGTAAAATAAAATTAATACACTTTCGCGAGTAAACAGCGTCCACGTGAGAACTCGCGGCTTTTGGATTGGCAACTAAATCTAAAACGTGAGCCACCAATGTCCCAATGTTTCGCTCCAGCCAAGTGCCGCCCAATATTTGAACAAACACCACATAAGCCTGAAAATAAATTATTTTACTGCTTTATCGAATTTAAAATTAATTTAATTAATTTACATTAACTTAAAAATTTTTATTTAAATTATAAACTTTTTTGTTAATAAATTAGGAATTAAAAATTACAGGAATAATTTAATTATTCTTGAATACTCACATGGGTTACACCGACTCGTACTTCTCTATTAACTCCGGAACTTCCTTTAATTATTTCTCCGGTTCCTTTGAGGAAGCCAACACCGCCTCTTAGAAATCCCGACATTAAGATATTTAACACCTCTTCCAGAGATATTTGTTTCATTGCTTTACTCTGAGTGGCTGAAATATTCATTATAAATTTTATAAATTTTGATTTATCTTTTTTTCCCCTTTAAAAGTGATTCATTCAAAAATAATTTTATATTGAATTATTTGAATTTACAATCAAGAATTTATTAATCAATTCAATTAATTATTTCATACATAAAAATTAGCGATTTTTTTATTTGAAAATTCAAACGTCAAATATTTTGATTTAAAGTTTTCAAACTTGATAATTGATTGAAATTACCAGAAGGATTTTGTCCCTTGGGTGGTGGAATTTGTGTCATTGCGACAAGTGCTCCTAGAAGTTTTGCAACCGAACATCTAACTTCATAATTCGAGCCCTCGAATGCCCGAAAGCAAAGAGTCGCTACACTTTCAATTTCCGTCGTGTACAGGAATGGTGAATGATTCAACATCTCAAGAAGACACTAAAAATATTTAATTATGATTAAAAATATTGCTATAGGTACATAAATTTTTTTCTAAATTGAATATTTTAACTTTGAAAAATCCATTTTTTCCTTTTCATAATAAAAAGAATTTAGTTTTTAAAATAAAAACTCGATTTATCAAAATAAAAACTTGATGTTTAAAATAAATTACAATTTGAAAATCCGATTTTCCAAAGTTAGAACTCGGTGAAAATTCAAGAGAAATGGGTCAATGTAATTTTTTTTTAAATTGGCAGTTCTATTCAATTTTATAAAAATTACCTTAGCAGCGGCGCATCTGACAGCCATAACTCTATCAGTTAAACAATGTCGACATACTTTGTAAATTTCCTTATGTACGTTGGTAATTGCCGATCCCATTCCAGCGCAAACCTAAAAAAAAAGAATCAGATTACATCAAGAATAGTACTTTATTGATTTTCTCACAATTTGAATATTTGTCTTAAACATTTGTTTTAATTTTTAAATATTTGTTCAAATTTTTGTTTCTAAACAAAAGTATTATTTTACTAATCTAAATAAATAACAAAATTGTTGATATTTAATAAACACCTTTTCCAAAGTGGACATTATTTCAATTCGAGTCTGCGATTCTGCTGAACGGAAGGACTTTATTAAAATTTGAACCGTCTCCTCATAAGAACGTCCCATCATTCTTCCCAATTTCTCATACATACAACCGACACAACATATGGCAGCTCTGTAAAATAAATTTTTATAAACAAATAAATTTTATGTAATATAATAAAAACTAATGATTTAAATTAAATAAAATGTTAAAATTCTAATTTTTTAATTCTTTTTACATTGAAATACATAGAGACTTAAATTTCCAAAAATTACAATTAGAAAACAATTTTACTTACAATTTGGTGGGAAGAAAACTAGGAGAATCGTCTTTATTTTTAAGAATGTCATTGCATTTGTTGACTGTATCAAAAAGTAAAAATGTGTCGCCAACGCTAAATAATGTTGCAAGACATCTTGCAATTAATCGACGTGTCGGTGGTCCTGGTGCTCCTTGCATATGCTTCGTCAATTGTTCCACCAATTTTTGTTGACATCCTTTAATATCATTCTAAAATGCAAAAAAAAGTATTTTTTCACTTAAAAATTAATTACAATAATGTTAATATAATTATTTTTGAAAGAAGGTACATAATAACTAATTAACGAAAATATTTTTTGAAATTTTTGAAAATAATTGAATTAAATAGAAAAAATTTAAGGTTTTTTTAGAATTTATGGTAATTTCAAAGTTTATGAAGAAAACAATTAAAAAATAATATTCTTACTTTTTGAGCAGCAATCAGAACCTTATCCAAAAATCGTAACCATTCAAAAACAAAAACTGGTCGTTTTGCTTCAGGTATTTGATTGAGAGCATCCTCATTAAGAGTCAAACTGTGACTTAACTCCATCATTGTTCAAGATTAAATTCTTCACACCTGCAATTATTAAAATTTATTAAACAAAATAAGTCGTAAAAACACGATTAAAACAGTTAATAACTTTGCATCTAATTTAATAAAAATCATGATAACAAAAATAAAAAACAACATACTTGATGACAATAATTAAAAATAGAAAATCGTTTTTAACGAGCACTATAACCTTTTTCACACAAAGGGTGTAAATTGTATGTCCTATAGACTGGAGTAATAAAATATATAAAAGTGACCCCGTTGCATTTATAAAGTATATTCTTGACATTTAAGGAAACAACACACACGACAAATCATATTATCAATATCTAATATGGCAGATTAATTTTCATTTCTACGACTTACTGAAAATATTTATACAATATTCTTGTCGGTCTTCAGATTCTTCCTAAGTAGTTAATAATTGCTAATTTAATATCCGACATCCTTGACAATTTATTCATATAATTTCCTGAGTAGCTAAACATTCTTTTTTCAAAAAAAAATAAAAATTCATATTTTCACCACACTATGTAATAATAGAGGATTTTATCTTTGAACTCAATTATATGATGATGAATCTTCACGAGATGAGATAAACATTACATTAATAACGTATAAGCTTCGTTAATTTTTTCTGGTTAAAACTGCTCTTAGAATAAAATCAATTTTACATTTAGAAATGCGTTATTATAACAATACACATTAAATATCGATAAGAGAACTGGTATTTAATTGACAACAAAGCAAAAACTGGTAGAAACACTTGAGAAACACTCTGGGATTGTAAGATGTCAGATGACAGATGACAGTTTGCATTTTGACATTTGACAACTGTGTGCGCCATTTTGGAAATCAATTTATCGATAGTTTGGCGCGAAACTATTTAAAAGAATAAATCAACTAATTTTTATTTATTAAGCCTTTTTACAATATTTATTATTGCCAATATTTCCATCTCACCGTATTATTATTTATTTAGTTGTTAAAATCTATTAAAATAAACAAAAAATAGCGAAAAAATGTTTCAAAATTGCAAGTATTTGAATTAAGTTCGATTAATCGATAATGCACTTTGTGCAACAGTGAACAATTAAAAAACCTGTTTCCCCTAGTCAACTGCCAACTTGATAAAAAGAACACGATACGATAGTTCGCAGCAGATGATTTTTTTTCGAGTGTATAAGAGAGAATTTTTAAGAATTTAAAGTGAAAATCATTATTTACTGAGATTAGAAACTAATTAAGGTTAAATATCCAATTAACTTGGTAATTCCAAGTTATTTAGTCGAATTCTTAACGTGACAGTTGAGCTTAAACATATTGTTTGTTACCTGAAAGGTATGTTTTGACAGCTCGCTTTCTTATGTATGTGTACGTGTCAAGAATGCCAAAAAAAAGTTTATTTCTAAATTGTTGCATTTTGAAATCATTATTGTATCGTTTTCTTTTCATTTTTTCTAGAAATTAAGATTCTTTTGTCACTTTTTCCAACCTAACCTCATCAAACATTGTAATCATTTTAGTGAATTTATTGAAGTCGTAATTTATTCAGTTTTTTTTGTTTATTAAATAATTTTAATAATCTTTTAATATTCATTGCATACTGATTGCATTTTTTAAAAGTTTTTGTTTCTAATTTTATACTTTATATGGTAAAGTTTGTATAGAAATTTTATTTTTCTCTAAATATGATGTAAAATGTAAATAAAATTTTTGTTTCGAAGAATGAAATAAATAAAATCAGATTATTTTCTCATAATTTGGGAATAAATGATTTTCTTTAATTTCAGCCAAAGATGGTTAGACTTTACGCTTTGACGATCCTTTATAAGGGACAAACATCGGCAACTGCCCTGAAATGTGCCTATGACGTCGATTCCTTCTCTTATTTTCAAAGAAGCAGCGTCAAGGAATTTATGGCATTTGTCAGTAAAACCATAACAGAAAGGACGCAAGTTGCTGCGAGGCAGAGCGTTAAAGAAGGAGGTAAAATCGATACTTTTTCATCCCACACTCCCATCAAAAACTCAAGTTGTATTTTTCTCAATAAACTTTCATTTCTTATCAAAGAGATTTTATCGTCATCGCATCATCTCGAGAATTGTAAAAAAATATTCTCAGAAAAATATTCAAGATTATTTTAACATTATTTATCATTCTTAGAATGTTTCCTAAATTTTCTATCTCCAGAGCAATATTTTCTAAATTGGAATTTTTTTCATTTTTAAATATTTAAACAATGTTTTTTCTAATTCAGATTTTTTTCAAATTGATTTCAGAATACATGTGTCACGTGTACGTTCGTGGAGACAGTTTAGCAGGAGTTTTAATATCAGATCACGAATATCCAAATCGAGTGTCACACACTTTAATTACAAAAGTATTGGACGAATTTGCAGCGAGGTATTCTCCAAACTCGTGGCCAACATTAAACGAATCGGCGGTCGATTTTCAACAAAGTAATGTTTACCTGGCAAAATATCAAAATCCAAGGGAGGCTGATGCCTTGACAAAAATGCAAAACGATCTCGATGAAACAAAAATCATTCTGGTATAAATTATTAATTAATTTGATCTAATAATTAATTTTTCAAAAAATCTTCTATTAAAATTGTATCAAATTTTATTAATTACTTTTATTTTATTTATTAATTTTTAGCACAGTACACTGGAGGCAGTTTTGCAGAGAGGTGAAAAATTGGACGATTTAGTATCGAAATCAGAAGGTCTCAGTATTCAATCGAAAGCCTTTTATAAAACAGCCCGTAAAACTAATTCCTGCTGCAGTTTGACAGCTTAGAAAAATTCTCTTAACGTTATAATTATTTTTTAATTAACATTGTGTCACTCTCAATGTATAAGAAAGTAAATGGAAAAAAAATGAGGTCAAAATGGAATTAAAGAAAAATGTCTTTCTAGAATTCAAAAGACATTTATAAAAGCTGTAATAAAGCTTCTGTGAATGCGAACAAGTTCTTAAAAAACAACCAAAGAAGCATTTTACAAAAAAAAAGAAAATTTTTTTTCAGAACATCTAAATGGAAAGTCTGGCAGTGCCAAAAAAAACTCCAGCGCATATTCTGTAAATAGATATATTTTAGCTTTGCTTTGTCCAATTTATTTCTCAGGTCAAAATAAGATATTCACTGCCAGTTCCAAAAAAAAAAAATGGAAATTACGATTATAATTGATAAAACGGACCTAAACAAAAAACATTCCTAAAAATTTTTTAAATTCAATTAGAAATCTTGAAATGTTTATTTTTTCTACAGTTTTTAGATTCACGTTTCTTTCTACTTGAAAATTCTAAAATAAATTGACAGAATCTCCATTTAAAGGATTGTTAATTTCTCGCACAAACCCAGATCGCTAGAAATTCTTAAAATATAATTAAGTCCGTAAAAAATAATCTTTCATATCCGAAAAGAAACTATGACCGTGTTGAACGTTACGTGTCACACTATTGGTGTTTGTGTCTACTGACGTTTTTAAATAAAAGGGTGAAATTAAAAAAAAAAAAAAACGCGAAAGAAAAATGTACTGAGTCTCGTTATAACGTCAGAAAATTTAAATAAATGTATTTGAAGATATATGTATGATATATGTACAATATAAAATTCCTTACTAAAAAAAAACCTTTATAATTATAAAATTGAAACAGATATTTCTGTTTCGAAAATAATTTAAAATATAACAATCTATTTTTAAGTGTTGCAAAATTTCGTCTCTTTCATTCGTGAAAACCTTTTGATTTATTTGAAGAAAAAAAAAATGAATCGATTATGTTTTTAGTTTATTTTTATTTTTAACAAAATTTTAATTTTAACGTAAATTTTTATGATGGTTAATTCTTTTTTTTAAATAACTTTTTTGTTTTAAATACAAACCTAATTTTATTGATGGGCTAGAAAATTCTTTTTTGAATTATTCTAACGTAAGAATTTTCTCTCCAGGTAATTCTTTTTAATTGGAAAATACGTAGAATCCCAACATTGTCGTGGAGCATACTGAAAGTAATTATTTTATAAAGTTAAAAAAATTTCTCGAAATCCTTTCCTTATTTCCAATATTTTTCAAAACAAATCGAAAAAATGTTTATTTTATTCATTTGATTACTTACTTTTTCTAATACATCGGCTTGAATTTCCGCATCACCAGCTGGTATTCTACATTCAACTGCAACACTATCTCTTGGCATGGCCAAACGAAGCAAATTATGTTCCCTTTCAGTATACAATCTTCTTTTATTGGTCCAATGAACATGAGTTACTAAATCCCAATCTTCGAATTTCTTGGAATTTTTAACAATTTCAAAATCTAAAGCTTCAATATCTTCGACAATTACTTCAAAATCTCCACCATTTGAATAATCGTAAATTAAAATATTTGCATGTTCACTCATATTCTTGAGGAAATTATACTTGTAATTGTGTTCAAGATCAGTGAGGAATTTTTCATTCAATACTTTTGAATCCTTTTCGCCTGGAGCATTTCGCTTCTTAATTTTATCCTGAAAAATAAGCAAAGAATTTACATAAAAATACAAAATGAACAAATATTTTATATTTATATAAAATTCATTTCAATTACCAGAACAACATTAACCGGTGCATCCAAATAAATACATAAATGTGGTCTCATTAATTCATGAAATGATTCCGTAACACCAGAATTATACATTTGAAGAGCTTCATTGGAAAAATATCCATTGCTATTCATTGCGTTTGCAAAACATTGATCGGACCAAGCACTTCTTTCAGTGACAACTCCCTGACCCGTGGACATTATATGAGTCAGAATGTGTAAAGTCTTTTGAAATCTGAGCATAAAAAATCTCGCTTGTACTTTAGCGCCGTTCCTTAGAGTTGGATTTTTCAAGAAAGTCGGCAAATCACAAGTTTTACATGTTTCGGGCATTTTATCGTCTAGTGTTTTCAAATCGAAATCGTACATTCGCACATAATAATCGTCTAAATGTGATTGAGGAACGTACAACATATCCAGCTCGTGAGCTAATTTTTTACAAAGTTCAGTTTTACCTATAGCTGGTGGACCCTCGACGACAATAAATTTTGTATTATCATCGAAACGAAAAGTTGTGTCATCAAACAATTGATTCCAAAGCTTAAATTTTTTTTCCTCATAGGGAAAAGGCGGTGGACGTGGTTCACGTAATTTTCTCACTTCTCGTGTACTTATACATGCGACTTGAATAAATGGTACATTTTTCGTAGACGATATCTGAAAATCAAAGTTTTTTTTATTTTTTTTACGCAAACGGATAACAAAAAAAATTTCTTAACCTAAAAATAAATGAGAAACATGAGTGAAACATTTATACTAGGTTAAAATTATTTTAATTGCGATATAAATTTAAATTATTTTAATTACGATATAATGTGCATTACAGTCTTCATAATAAAAGCAAATAAATAAAAATTACATACGTGTTAACAACAAAGTAAGAATAGTGCTAACCTTACATAATCCCGAGGTACTGTTTCGAAGTTTAGAAATGCCAGTTCGTAAAACAGACGCCATTATTTCTAAACAAATATTAACTAAATAAATGCCAAATAATATCAATTAATTAATATCTAGCATTACTCCAATATTTTCTGAAAAATTCACTTGCTAGCAGAAGTTTATATTTCTTTAATGAAAGCAGCTGTGAACTGAAATTAACCCCATTTGCAGAAACAGTATTGCCAACCTCTCTCCATAACACAAAAAAATCGAGATTCTCAAAATATTTATATAAATTGTTAATTAAACGTAATTATTTATTAGAAAGAAAAAAAAGAATAAATACAACATTGTTCATCGACCAAATTTTGAAAATATTTATAATCTTTACAATTAATATTTGCGATTTTTGTAAAAACTTGTAGAGAGATTCAAATTCCCCCGCTAATTGAGAACTGTCAGATCTACAAACTGAACATGGCTGATAGTGACATGACACTTCCGGATACAAGAATGCATGTGTGAGTGCACTAAACGTGTATAACCTCTCAACGTTTTGCAAAAGTGTATACACACGCAAGAAGAGTATTAAAATACTGTTTGTGTGCAGTCAAGCCATACAATCAAGGAGAAAATTCACGCAGAATCAGAGATTATACAAATTTCGCATTCCAACTTGAGCTTGACTGTGCAAGAATAGTTAAAAGTCTTTCGTACATTAGGTGTATAAAATCGCGGTTCAGTGACCGCGACAGTTAATGTGGGTGAAAAATGTAAAAATGAAACAGAATTGAATTTTTTTTTTGACGTATCTGGATTTGTATGAATAGATATTAAAGGACGCAGGCGTCTCGTGTCAAAAAAAGAAGGCTTTTTTTTCTTTGGCACATTTCTCATTACACCATAAGAGAGAATGGGTAAGTGTGGCGGCTTGTAAAGCCGGTTGCCCCGAAAAGATATTTATAAATCATTTTCTATTTAAGGGCGCCGTCGTGGGGCGTGTCTTTTGGTTAAATTTTTCGTCTTTTCGAATATATATTTCTTGTGTTTGTGTGTGTTGGTGTTGTTCTTTGGAAAAAAAAGGTTCGTTTTTTTCATCTCTATAGATAAGAGTGAATGTACGATTACAGGATATCAATATGGGTTCATCGAACAACATTCCAATTTGTTTAGTCACGTTTTCAAAATGAATTCAATCACAGTGTTTTTGTTTGTGTACAGTAGTGTTGGTCGTGTGCCGAAATAGCCGCGCGTATACATTTGCATAAATCTATTTTTTTTCTATACGAAAAATAATTTCCCTGGGATTTAAAAAAGAAGGGACTTATTGAAAAAAAGTCGATTAAATAGAAATAATTAAATAATGAAAAAAATTGTGATATATAGAAAGGGATAGGGTAAAAATTTGGAAAAATTAGTTTACATAAAGGAAAGTAAGATAAATAAATAATTTCCTGTACTTTCTCAAAGAGAATTTAAAGTAGGTTGAATTAACAATGTCTTGCACAAGACAATGTTTATGCAGAACTTTCAATTCTGTCTACACTATTGCTCGTCTTGTCATTGTTGGAAATGAAAATCAGTTTTCTATCTGATTACAGATACGCAAGGAGGGATGTCGCGAAATTCCGGTCCAGGTCTCTATGAATTCCTCATGGAAGCTGAACTTCAACAGTATTACCCTGGAATTCGGGGTAAGTTTCTGTTTTTTTTCACTTGAAAATGAATTAAAAAAACACATTTTAATTTTAAGAAAAATACCATTATATTACATTTTTAGAATTCACAAGAAAAATCTAATATTTAGAGTCCACAAATCTTTAAAAATATTAAAAATATATTTTAAAAAATGTTTTAATTCTTTTTGAATTTTTATTGTTTTAAATTAGTTAAATTTTTAAAAATATATAAAAATTTTTAAATAATTGAAAATTTTGTATTGTAAACAAGTAGTTTTTAGAAATATTTCTGGCAAACTTTTTTTTTCATTGGATAATTTAATTTTTAAAGAATGTTCTGAAAACTTATTGAAAATAATTGATTTTAAATAGAAATTTAGTTAAAAATTCTAGATAATAATTTAATTTTGAATCTTGAAAACAATTTTGTAAAAAAACGTTTAAAAATAATTGATTTACAAAAGAATTTTAATTGAAAATTCTAGAAAATATTTTTATTTCGAATTTTGAAAATACTCTTAGCGCAAAATTATTAAAAATAATTTATTTAGAAAAGAATTTTAGTTGAAATTTCTAGAAAATTATTTAATTTTGAATCTTGATAATAATTTTGTAAAAAAACGATTATAAATAATTGATTTACAAAAGAATTTTAATTGAAAATTCTAGAAAATATTTTTATTTAGAATTTTGAAAATACTTATGGCGAAAAATGATTAAAAATAATTTATTTAGAAAAGAATTTCACTTAAAAATTCTAGAAAATAATTTAATTTTGAATCTTGAAAGTAATTTTGAAGAAAAGTTATTAAAAATAATTGATTTTAGAAAAAAAATTCTGTTAAAAATTCTAGAAAATAATGTTGTAGAAAAATTGTTGATAGTAATTTATTTAGAAAAGAATTTTAGTCAAAAATTCTAGAAAATAATTAAATTTTAAATTTTGAAAACAATTTTGTCCGTGAAATTATTAAGAATAATTGATTTAGAAAAGAATTTTACTTAAATATTATAGAGAATAATTTAATTTTGAATCTGGTAAAGAATTTTGGAGAATTTTGCAGTAGAAATTTTTGAAAATCTTAATTCTTATAGAAAAACAATAATAATAATTAAATATTTATTTAAAAAAAAATTATTGTCTTTTTGAATGATTTTGAAATTTGAACATATTCCCAAATAAATGAATTTGAAACATTTTCTTGAGTGTCTGATTATTATTTTCAAATATATATTAATATTTTTATTTTTAAATATTCTTTATGATTAGAGAAAACGTCATAATTCTGTTTGGGAGTCAGATCAGGGAAAAAGAAAATGAAATTTTTGTAGCAACCCTCTAAATTTTAAATAAGAATGAAAAATCAAAACCTGGCGTAAAATTAAATTTAAAACAATTTATTTTCAGGTGACCTGAAAGTGCAAAACACAGCACAACTAAAATACGTAACGGAGGATGATTTAAATGCAATCGGAATGAGTAAACCAGAAATGCGTCGTTTAAAGAAATACTTTCAAAAGCATTTTCCACAGAATTATTTATCAAAATTCAAAAAAATGCTTCTACCAAAACGTGAGGAACAAATATCGGGATCACTTGGCATGTTACCGGAAGAAAGACAAGATCGTCCACCAGTTCGTGTTCCCAATAAGCACATGATTCCCGCCGATGCAATAATTGTTAATAAAGAATTGGGAATGGGTGAATTTGGTGTTGTGCAACAAGGTGTTTGGACAAATGACGGCGAGAGAATACAAGTCGCAATAAAGTGCCTATCAAGAGAGAGAATGCAAAACAATCCAATTGAATTTCTTAAAGAAGCGGCAATAATGCATTCCATTGATCATGAACATATTGTCAGATTATATGGTGTTGTTCTCGATACAAATTCACTGATGCTCGTCACTGAATTAGCACCACTTAGATCACTATTAGAATGTTTAAAGGAGCCAAGTTTACGTGCAAGTTTTCCAGTTTTATCACTTTGCGATTTTTCCGTACAAATTGCCGATGGAATGCAATATCTTGAGGCTAAACGTCTAATTCATCGTGATCTTGCGGCAAGGAATATTCTCGTATTTTCTAAAAATAAAGTGAAAATCTCTGATTTTGGTCTATCGCGTGCACTCGGCGTTGGCAAGGATTATTATCAGACGAATTTTAATGTTAATCTAAAATTACCGATTGCATGGTGTGCTCCGGAATGTATTACTTATTTAAAATTTACATCAGCGAGTGATGTTTGGGCGTACGGTGTAACATTATGGGAAATGTTTAGTTATGGTTTTCAACCATGGCCAGCGCTCACTGGTCATCAAATTCTCGAGGCAATTGACGAGCCAAATTTCCAAAGATTGGAACAACCTGATTGTTGTCCCAAGGATTATTTTACATTAATGCAACAATGCTGGCAGCATGAGCCAATGAAGCGACCAAAATTTTCCGAATTAATTAATCTTCTGCCTGATTTAAAGCCAGAGCAGGTGCAAGCTGTTCAGGATAGTGCGGAAATTGGACAACTCACTTATCGACAGGGTGATATTATTTCTGTTTTGGATAAGGGTAGCAGTAATACTTTATGGAAGGGTGTGCTGAATAATGGTAAGACTGGATTTTTTAATCCAGCTCATACGATAGCGTATCTTGGTTCAAATTTACCGAGTAATAAACCGGGGGAATTTACGCGTGGCGATGGAAAAAATGCATTTTCATCGCAGAGAAGAAAAATACGAACGGATATGATTTCATCGCCTCAGGGCGATTTAAAGCATACGGGTCATGTTGGATTGGATGGAGCTTATTTTGGTGATATCAGTTTCTTGGGTGGAAAGTATCCGCATTTACCTAGACAAGTTGTCACACCTTATAAGCCGCAGGAGGATGCGACAGATAATTCTAGTCAGATTTTAAATCAAGATGGAAGGAGTGTTGATTCTAATAGAGAGCAGCCTGCCAGGGATAATAGAATTCATCATTCACAGCTTGACAACCAAAGTAAACATGGTGAGAGAGAAATTTATCGATAATTAAACAATTTTATTTATACAACTTTATTCAACGAAAACCTAAACAAATATTTTCTAGAAATTTATTCTTTAACTATTCCCTATGGGTTTTGAATTTAGTTCGAAATTTTATTTAATACAATTTCTCCAAAACTTTAAAGTAGAATTTTGATTTTAATCTTTTCAAATTATAATTTACACTAGCAACAATTCAACAACAATTTAAATTTTTGTTGAAAACACGAAAAAAAAATTCAATTTTGGAGAAATTACAAATAACAGCAGAAATTCAATTATTTACAAAAAAAAATTTTTCTAATTAAATTTTTGAAACATGCAATTAAAAAGATTTTTAATAATTGAAATTTTGTAAAATTTAATTGAAAATACATAATTTTTTTCAAGTATTTTATTACAATTTTAAAAAATTAACTTTTAAAGAATTTTAATTGAAAATTTTGGAAATAATGTAAAATTTAATTGAAAATACATACCTAATTTTTTTCAAGTATTTTGTTACAATTTTTGAAAATTAATTTTTAAAGAATTTTAATTTAAAATTTGGGAAATAATTGAATTCTCAAAAATTTTAATGAATAATCTTCAAGTGTAAATTCAATAAAAATGAAAATTAATGAAAATTAGATTCCAAAAATAATATTAAAATAGTTTTTAAAAAAGTACATACATCTCTGAATCACAAAAATAATATTGAATATTGATCGTAAAAAATACATTTTTGAATTTTAATTGAACATTTAATAATTTGCGAATTTTATTTTCAGAAAGTCTATGGTCCGACACAAGTTCAGAAATTTCGCATTTGGGATCAATGGCGAATGCTGCTAAACAAACATCAACTACGACTACTGGTAATACGGATTCAGTTAGTGCTGATCACGAATATCATGAAATCAGCGATGAAGAAAATCAGGACAGTCCCCTGAGATTTGATAAGCCATTAAATTTCGATTTTGGACCTAGTCTCCTCGATGAAATGGACCAAATGTTCCGATCATTAGGTATTTATAGAAAATTTTCCATGTCTCTTCATTTTCAATTTTTCATCCATAAAATTATTCTTTGAAACCTTAAAATTTTCTCTAAGCCGATTACTTATTTGACTTCAATACTTAAGCGAATTATTTTTGACCTTAAGACATCAGTTTTTATTTGCAAATATATTTTAATATTTTTATCCATTAAATAACTTTAATAAATTTAGATAAATTTATTAAAGTTATTTAATTTTCTATGATCTTAAAAGTTCTAAATCTCTTCCAATTGTTATTCGAATCGAAAAAATTTGAATAATTTTATACACCCTACAGTATAGACATTTATGAATTTTGATGGAATTTGATTTACATAGTGCACGTGTTGGAATCTTTTTATTTTAACGATGTTTTTTCAGGTTCTTCACCACCGCCACCTCTTCCTGGCCATCCACCAACAGAACACGAAACAAGTAACGCTCGAAATGAGCTTCGTGAGATGCAAGCAAAACAGAGCAGTAAAAAGAAGCAAGCCACCGTGAGTCCAATAAATGTAAAGTACACGTTTTCTTTTGTGTTTTTCCATTTTTTCTTCAACATACAAAAAAAGAGGAAAAAAAACTTTGAATGACTCGCATCTTTTTTTTTTGTTGCTTTTTTTTTAAACAATATGAATATTAAAAAATTTCGTTTGCTTTTAATGTTTAAAACGCAATGGTAGTCTTTATATTTTTTATAGCAAAAAAGAAAAATGATAACAAGGTGAGTTTATTTACTCAAGGAAAAAAAAGTTTGTTTAAAAAACAAAAAAATTTGCTGTGAGAGTCCTTCTCGACGAAAATGAAGCACATTGAGAGAGGGGAATAACCCTCTGATTTGTGATGAGAATGTAAATATTTATAAACTATCAGATGTGGTAAGAATTTTTAATCTGAATTTAGGTGAAGCCTATATCAGCGGCAGATCAGAAAACACTCTACTCGGCCATTGCAATGGCCCAGGAATTGACAGCACGTTCCATGACAGATCTTGAGCAACCACAGGAATCGCCACGTACACCTGCAAGTCCCTCAAGACGTAGAAAATTTTCTTTTAAGTTGACACATCAACACAGTCCTAAACCAGACAGACGACACTTTTCCGAGGAAGCCGCCAGTATACCTGACATCCAGGTACAATTCGATCAATCAAAAATCTCACATTAATTCACGATTAAAAAAAAATGAAAGAAAGGAAAGAAGAAGAAAAAAGAAATTGCATTTTATATTGAAGCGAAAGAAAAGTTTTCAAATTGGGTTCAATTTATAGATTCATTTAATTAGAAGATAACAAGATTACTTTGCAGATTCGAAAAGGAATTTCTCTTTAAATATTATCTTTATCTTTTTATTTTATTCCTTATTTTATAATTTTAAAATGAAATTTATTCACAAAATATTCGTATTTTTGATATAAAATGTAATTTTATTTGTTTTTATTTATTTAATTTAGTCGAATTTTTAATTAGAAGAATTTTCGAATCGACAAATAAAGTATTTTAACTAAATAAGAATTTTGCAATTTAAAGATTGTGTCAAATAAAAATTTGGCTAAATAAAAATTCAGAGAAATGAAAATTCGATAAAATAATTTTGCTTCATAAAAATTCGGTTGACTAAATTTTTTATTAAATGCTAATTCTATAAAATGTAAATTTCGTTAAATTTTAATTCGTCTAAATGAAAATTATGTTATATTTAAAATTCGTAAATCAAAATTCCATAGAATGAAAATTTCGATAAATTAACATTCGAATAATGAGAAGTTCTGTGAAATTAAAACTTTGATGAGAAGCTAAATTAATTAAAAATGTATATATTATAATGTAGAAATTTTTATCAAGAAAATATTTAATTATTAACTTAATATCCAGAAATTAATTAAATTAATTAATCTACTTTCTGTAGATTTTCAAACTAAAAAGTCTTGTTAATAATAATTTGAATTAATAAAAATTCTTCCACGAGAACTTTGACTAAATGGTAGAGATGTGCAAAAAGCTCGAAAAGTCGAGCCGAGCCGAGCCGAAATTTTTTCGGGCCGAGCCGAGCCGAGCCCGAGCCGGCTCGATGTATCGAGTACTCGAAATTTTCGAGTACTCGAGTGACTTCGAGTACTCGAAAAATTCGAGTACTCGGGTAAATTCGAGTACTCGATTAAATTCGAGCACTCGAGTGAATTCGAGTACTCGAATTTTTCGAGTACTCGAATGGATTCGAGCTTTTGACTTACTAAAAAAACTATTAATAAGTAAAAAATTTCGAATTTTTTTGAATTACTGAATCAATATTTCTATTTGCTAAATATAATAAATGCGAAAATTCTATGAATTTTCTCTAGAACTCGAATTTACTCAGAGCTCGAAAAAATTCGAGTACTCGAATTCCCTCGAGTGCTCGAAAAATTCGAGTACTCGAATTAACTCGAGTACTCGAAACTATTCGAGCTTTTTACACAGCTCGGCTCGGCTCGAACTCGGCTCGAGCTCGAACTGATTAGGCTCGGCTCGGCTCGGCCCGAAAAATGAAAAGCTCGAAAAAGCTCGCTCGAGCCTCGAGCCTCGAGCTTTTTGCACAACTCTACTAAATGGAAAATCGATAAAATTCAATTCTCTTCAAATTAGAAATAAAATCCATAAATAAAAAAAAAATTTGAAAACTTTTACTTTCGCAAAAAATATTTAAGAAAAAGAATTTATTTTTTCCAATAAAAAGTAAAATCACTAACAATTTGGTAAAATTTATAAATAGAAATAGAAAATTTTCTAAAATATTTTTAAAAAATTAAATGAAATTTAAAAATTCCAAATTTTATTCTAAATTTTAGCGTAAATCGGAATTTACCGAAATCACAACATTTTAAACACATCAAAACACAATGCACTCATCTAATACTATTTATAGAAATCTATCATATTTATTTTATCTCATTCTAATACAGGGTTCCTATTTGCACTTTGTTTCCAAATTTAGATAAACAACTAACAAAAAAAGTAAACAATTTGGATAAATTAGTAGAAAAAAAATAGTTATGGAACAGTGTTAATTCCTGATGCCAATTAACTTGATATTTATCAGTACTAAAAATTCTTAAAATGGTAAATTTTTATTCTTTTCTATAATATATTTTAAATGTATAGTGAGATTAATTTCTTACTATTATTCTTTTTTTTTTGTAAAAGCTTACTAACGCAGAGATACTAATATTTGTCTTTTCCCTCTTTTCCTATTCCTTTTTAATTATTTTTTCGTTTTATCCCTATCCTGGTTATTTTATATATTTTTTTTAATTAAAACACTTGCATTTTGTTGTTAATAATTTCTTTGGTATTTATTTTTTTGGAAATTTAAAAATATTTTGTTTGAAAATATTTTTTTGGTTGGTATAAATGTATTTTTTTGGTTTTGTTATCCCGTTTTTTTGTGGCTTTAATATTTGCATGCTTTGTATTTTTATGGGCTTATAAAAGTGGCTTTGTTCGAGTTTGCAGTCGTTGTCGTCGACGGTGTCTAGTATTGAATCCCTGGGCGCGCCATCAACATTAAAATTACCACTTTGGGATAAAGCGTCGGCGGAATTTTGTTTTGCAAAATCACGTGAACTTTTAACGAAACCCAGTGCCTGGACATCGTACATGAATGTTGAATTCGATAATCATATTCTCGATAATAATGCAACAAAGCAGAATTTAATGAAATCGGCGGAATTCTTGGAGAATGGAAATCGAAAGAGTATCGCTGCCTGTGAATCGATATTGGATTTAGAAACAAAAAATACAAAACAAAATGGTAAATTATCGTATAATTTGGAGAATTCAAATATGGATTTTCCACGGGAGGCAAAGAGAGTGTCGACTAGTTATGTCGATCGTTATTTTGAACAACCAAAGTATTTGGATGATGATGACGATGCGGGAGAATCGCCTATTGAAAAATTACCGGAAAATTTCGAAAAAATTAATAATTTGGAGCATGGCAGTATGTTTTATTCAAATTTCCCAGAACTTAATATTCAATCAATGAATCTTAATTCAGAGCAAAAGAAATCCGATTTTGATATTGATGAGAAAAATTTCGATTCCAAAGAATCGCCTCGTAATCGTTCATCATTTAAATTCGATTTACCGAGTAAAGTAAATCTCGATTTTGGAACAAGACCGAAAGTGCTCGATTCAACGAAATTGAATACAGATTTGAAAAAATTTGATTTACAGAAAATACGCGGAGGAGGGAAAGTTTCCTTTGTTCCAAGAAATAGTCAAGAACTAAAAGTCGAGAAAGGTGCCATTAAACCAGACACTTCACGACAAAATTTAGAAGCAGTGCGAATAAATATACAAAGTTTCCGAAAAATCGAACAAAATCAAAATGGACACGATAATTTTTCTTTTGTCATGTCAAATAATCCATTATTCGTCACCGAACCGGAGAAAAAAGACTCTCCAATTTACAGTTCATCAGAGAGTCTTCGCGTCAATTTTCAACGTCTACGCAGAAAATCCGACGCCGAAGCAAATTCACAAGTTGAATTGAGCAGTAAAATTTTTGCCGAAAAATATCAGAGGGAAATATCAGGAATGGAGAGTGTGAAAAATTTTCTCGACTCAAAAAAGGGACAGGTGTTAAATTTAGGAATGGGCAAATTAACACAAAATATGATACAACTTGGTAAAAATATTGAGCAAAATTCACGAAATATCGACGTCTCGTTGGGTAAGCCAATGATGAGAAATTTAGAAATGCCCGGTGGACCGATGCAAAAACCAAAACATCTCGATTTAAATGTTAAACAATTGAAATTGAATTCAAATCAAAAGAGTCCGGCATTAAATCAACATATTTTGGAACCACCGAAATTATATCAGAATGAGAGTAGTAGAAAAGATTTGGATAAAAATCATGGGAATTTCAATGTTTTTCGTCCTCGCACATCCTCATTGTCGGAACATAGAAAATCACCACTTCGCACTGCCAGACGTTCGTTTCATCCAAAAAATGATTCAAGCGATGATTCCGATTCAATTTCACATTCGGAAACTGATATTCGAAGTCGATTGCGATATAAGAGACGTCATAAAAGAATGTCACATAATTTTCGTCTAAATTTCAAGAATCGAAGTCAATTTTTACATCCCGATGCGGCGAGAGGTTTTTCCTCAATTGAACTTTGTGGTAAATCACCACCGCCTTCGACGAGTTTTTTAAATTCCCTCTCGCCGCCATTCTCATCGAGAAATAATTTACTCTCGTGGCCTGAAAGTGCGCCTAGTTCGAGTTTAACATTCACCAGTAATTCTGATCTTGATTCAGACACAAGTTCGGAATATCCCGAATTTACTAATGACATTTTAACCTTCCCTCCATCGCCAGCTCCTTGAAGTATCGAAAAAGGAATTTTTTTCTTGAAAAAGTAGTATTTTTCAATAAAAGAAAATTCTTTTTTTTGAAGAATTTTCTTTGGAGAAATTGTACTATTTTTTACTATTGTAATTTGCAAAAAAAAATTCTTTTTTTGAAGAAGGAGAAAGATTTTGAAAAAAAAAATTCTGATACTTTGTAAATAATCGAAATTGAACAAAAATAGTAGTGGATTTTTTTATGTAGTGGTAAAGGGCAAAAAAAAAACTAATAATTAGATTTGTGTGTGTCGTGCTTAGCATGTTTGCATGTATCGCACGTCTACTTTAAAATACTAACAAGTAGAAATCCAGCGGTACTAATGTTAAAATATTTATAATATGAAAACTATCAGGGAACATCAGGGTGTCCAGCGACGAGGAAATTGTTAAATTAGTATCAAAACTCAGGGAATTTAAAAAATAGTTAGCTTTTTTTTTGGAAAAAAAAACAAAAATGAGATCAAATCTCAGGAAATATTTTCGTACGAAAATTATTTAGAGAAAGTAGTGTTTTGTTTTTTGGTAAAAGTATCAAAAAAAGTAAATATTTTCTAATTTGAATAATAGAGAAAAAAAGGAGTGATTTCTAACTAATAAGAATTTTTTCAAAAAAATTTTGGTAATTTCTTTTATTAATTAATCAATTTATCAATTAATCAATTGGTCAATTAATCAATTAATAGAAATATTGTTTAAAAATTTCCAAATGATTTTTCCAAAGATTTTCTTGAAGATTTTTTCTAACAATTTCACAATTTTCACAAATATTTGTTCGAAAATTTGTAAAGATTCTAAAAATATGTTGAATTATTCTACGAATTTAGAATTTGTCGAGAATTTCAAATATTTTGTAAATTTTTGCTAAAAAATTTATTTGTTAAGAAAAATTTTAATTTTTTTGATTTAAAAAACGAATAAATTATTAATTTTTATAATTCTAATAAATTTCTTGAAAGAATAAAGAATTTACAAAATTGAAAAATTAACAAAAAAAAATTAATTGCATCACAAAGTTTTTTTATTTTTAAAAACTTTTTCTACTTTTGGGAATTATTTACAAAAGTCGAATGTAAAAAATAATTAATATTAACAAAAATAAAATAGTAAATTAAATAAAATTCAAATATTTTAATTTATTTTCTGCAATTTTAAATTTTCTACTGAAAAATATTTAATATTTACATTTAAGAACTTGTTTTGCAAATTATTAATTATAATAATTAATTAATTACTAATTGTTAATGTAATCAAAGAGTAGAAAATTGAAAAATAGAAAAAAATTATTTCTCCATAAAATCGACTACTAAATTTGATCCAACATTTTTTTATTATCTAAAAAATAATTCCAGAGTATGAAAATAAAATGAAAAAAATCCTCGCCAATCGCTGGACACTTTCAATAATCATGAAAAATGTAGCAATTTGTATTCCATTTATAAACATAGATGTATTGCTAGAGAGTCCTAATTTTTACTGGACCTTTTAGATAAAAATAGACAATATAAGTTTTCTACATGACTGGTTTTTGATGAAGAAATGAAAAGCAGAATTTTTGATATGCACACAACGAGATGATAATTTTGAATGACCCCCTTTTTATAAAAACTTCCTACAAAAAAAAATAAATAAAAAAGTCTCGCATAGAATTTATTTTTTGCTCACATGCACACGCAAAAATTAGAATTTAAATAAAGTAAAAAAATGAGTGAAAACTTAAATTTTATTTAGACACCAGATAGTTGTTTATTAGCAAAACTTCTATGTAAGACTAAAATTTGATTTTAGAATTTTTTTTTTTGTCTTTTCGTTTAATTTTTTTTGGATTATTTCTAATCCAATTCCTTTACTTTAATTTTAATTTATTTTTACATCCTTTTATGATTTTTAATTTTTCTGTTCTTTTCTTTTTTCTCCCGAAAACAAAAAAATTCCCACCCCTACGGCTTGTTTAGACAACATTATCGGATGAGGCGAAGGAAGTTTACAACAGTCTTGTCGAGACGCCAATCATCGAAAATACCACGGACACAAATCCATTGCGAATGCTGCGCTCTGGATTGCCAATTGTCAGACCAAGGATTCGGGGCAATAAACACGCAACATTGGGCTCACAAATTGATGATATGACGAGCGATCATATTTTACAGTTCGATATGCATCATAGCGGTGCAAAAACATTGCCAAAACGTGCTCCACCACCATCACAAGCACCGCCACCAGTTCCACAGGCGCGAAATCTCGAGAGGCATCATTCATTGGAAATTGAAAATAATCAAAATCAAAATAACGTCGATGGCAATCCAATTCCATTGCCGCCGCGCGATCGTTCAAAAACACTTCAACCAAAATCAAATTTACCGAGACATCAAAGAAAGCATCCGCTTATTATTCCCGGTGGTGGAGTTACTAGAACTCTGGCAAAAATGGCTGAAATTAATCCACAATTAGAGGATCAGGTCGATGGAAATTCGTCCTCGTTCATGGTTCAGGAGGGATGCTCAAGTAACGATGGAAATGGCTCGTCGGAAGATACATTCATTCCCGATGTTGCGCCCAGCAGGTAATTTTTTTCTTTTTCTTTCGTTGCTTCTCAATTTTTGTCTAAAGTTCTTTTTTTCAACATTTTTGTCAAGACATTTTTTTTTTCATTCACAATAATTCATTTCTTTCTACTCTAATAATTTCCTTATTAAATACTGTCTTATTCTCTTAATATTTTCTCACTCTTTCTCAAAAAAAGAAAACAAAAAAAAAACAAATAAAAAATTAAATTTAAAAACGAAATTATTTTTTAATCACAGGTCACGGATGGTATGGCTTCTTAGAATTATTTTCGACTTATTTTCGAAAAAATGAGACTTTTTTCCAAACACTGAAATAATTAAGAAAAATTATGATTAGTTACGGTTGAAATTAAATATTAAACACAAATTAGATTTGTCTTTATAAACAATTGAATTTTTGAAGAAGTTTCTTAAATCTACAAAAAGTAATTGATTTAAAGAAGAAATTTAGTAAAAATTTAATTATATTCAGTTGTAATATTTAGAAATACCTAAATTTCAGAAGGCTTGAAAAATTTAATTATTTTCAATTGTAATGCTTGGAAATAATTAAATTTCAGAAGGTTTGAAATTGAATTTTAGAAAATTGTAATTTTCGTAGAATAATAAATAACAAGTATTTAAACATTTATTTAATTTTAATCAAATTATAGAACTTTTGAATAATCGAATTTAGAAATCAGTGAAAGATCAGGGAGATACAAAATTAAATTTTAATAAATTAATAAGTTAATAATACAAAATTAAATTTTGTTAAATTAACAAGAAGTAATAAAAAAAAATCTGAATGTTTCAGTCCGGAGGAGTTCGAAAGAAGAATCGATTCTGAATTGGCCGCCTTGGATTCCCTACCCGCTGACGATATTAAGCTAAACCGTTGCAGTGTCATTTCGGAGGACCTCCTCGAATTCTCAGACAATCTTATAGACTGTGATTCAGAATCGCAGAAAAATCAATCAGACAATGAAACTGAACAATCGTCAATTGAGAGGAGCAGTGATAATAAAACTACAGCCACAAAATTCTTGCCCGACAATGTCGATGCCAATTATAGTCAAGAAATTTCAAATTCCGAAGAATCAATTTACGTGAAACCGGAAACAAATATTCACTCGTCGAATAGATCACTAGTTTCGTTAAAAAAAACTGGGAATAATCCCGGCGCAAGGGAAAGTCTAACATCGACTGTCTCACCATTCAATATTAATCCAACGCCAAAAGTACAATCATCGACGACAATTAATACAAACGATGAATATCAAACGAAAACGGGAAAATATCAACGTTCAGTTAATCGTAATAGTGATTTAACCAGACAATCAGATCACGTCTCGTGTGAGGATCTTTTGGATTTTGCCTACGATCGTCCCAATGCTCATCGTACACGTGGTCCACAAAATGGCGAACAATCGGATGAGGTGAGAGTGATGTTGAAAATTTTACGCGAACAAACAACACCGGAATCTTGCGTTGCTGCATTAAATGTCACCGATTGGAAAATTCACGATGCAATTAAACTCGAACGACTTCAGGGTTTATTGAAGAGGGAAAATAATTTTGTTGGTCTTGAGGATTGTAAAATGATGCTCAGTCAGTGTGAGGGTGACATTGTTAAAGCTGCTTCGCTTCTTCGCAATACTGAAGACACCGCGGCAGTTTAAAAAAAAAAATTTATTTGCTTTGCGAGCAAAAAAAAAAAAAAAAATGTAAATACCCGGCGATTTTATATTTTCGTCTCGGGTAATTTGTAATTTTGTATTAATCTTCTCGATAGAGAATTACAGAAAGTTTTTGCGAGAGAGAGAGAGAGAGAGAAAGCGAAGATTTAATTGTAAAATTGAGCGAAGAATATTTTTACGTTTATTAGAGGAGTAAAAATTGTCAAAAAATGCTCGAAAATGTATCGAGAACGAAAGAAAATATTTAATTTATAAATTTCGAAAAATATTTTCCAATTGAGAATTTTTCTGTTCTTGATTTTATCACTGTGAAATTTCAAACTCAATTTTTTTTCTTTTAATGTTTCTTTTAAATGTAAATTAAATGTAAAATTTAAAGTCAATTTATTAATTTGTTAATTAATAGTATTCATTAAATTAAAATCTACAAAATAGAATTACAAATTAAAATTTACAAATTGCAATTAGAAATTAAAAATTACAAATTAAAGTTACAGATTAAACAAGTTACAGTTACAAACTGAAGTTTTCAAATTACAATTACAAATTTTTAATTTAAAAATTAACAATTAATATAATTTTTTTCGAATTTTAACTAAATAATTTTAGAATTTCATTTTTTAAACTTTAGTTTTCAATATCGAAATATTTTTAATAATTTTTAAAAACATGTTATTTAATCTTAATTCTATTTGTAAGAGAATATTATTTAAAAATATATTCGAATACTAATAATATTCTTTAAAAATATATTCGAATATTAATATTCACTGGAAATAAATTCGAATATTAATAATATCCTTTAACGATAATTTTTTAATGGGCATTATTCCCT